ATCTGCTGCTGCTTGCAATCAGCTGGACCGGAACTGATTAAAGGGGGAGCGGGGATTAATAATCTACACCGCACTCTCCTGTGTGCGTTTCTTAAAATTATTGGGTGCCCTGGAAATCAGCAATCAGCTCTCCGGAGTGAAGGGATTGCAGACATATACATTTCCCTTCCCCGGGGTGAAGTATGGGATCAGATAGGAAAATCTGCTGCTGCTTGCAATCAGCTGGACCGGAACTGATTAAAGGGGGAGCGGGGATTAATAATCTACACCGCACTCTCCTGTGTGCGTTTCTTAAAATTATTGGGTGCCCTGGAAATCAGCAATCAGCTCTCCGGAGTGAAGGGATTGCAGACATATACATTTCCCTTCCCCGGGGTGAAGTATGGGATCAGATAGGAAAGCTGGAAGCGAGATAAGAACTTTGTATCCTCTTTAATGGGAGATTTATAAGCTTTACTTTAAATGGCAAACTATCCTTAGTGCTCAATGCGTTTTCTCTTTTTCATGGGTCCATAACAGACCATCCATTATTTTTAAAGTAGGGGAATATTTTAAAAAAGGCAATATTGAAGTTTATAAAAAGATATAGATATCCAATTAAGATTTTGCTATTTTTTTAATGAGCGAACATAATTAACCAGTTAATTTATGAAATGTACATAAATCCAAACAGTCGCGATATATCTACTGCCACTTCATAGACCTCCACTCTTGGATTTGTATTTTATAATCAGCTCAACCAAATTAATTAAGAAAATAAACACTAGATCAAATAGCCAATAAGGCAAAGTTCCCTTTTAAAGCACAGAAAAATAGTTTCTTTGTGTGTAAGTAGCGATGCGGATTTCACAAGGTTCTCAAAACGATCAAAAATGATGTCGAAATGGCACGAGGGTGTAACTTAGTAGAGGGCTGCAAAAGGGAACTGATCCTGGTTAGTGATTTGTTTCTCCTAGAAAGGCAACTGAAACGTGCTGCCCCAGAACGAGAGAAACACAGAGCCAGGAAGACGCTGTTTACTTAAAGTTTATTGAGGGATTTAAAGTGTTTAGCAAACAAAGTGCTTTCTCTCTCATTTTGGATTCCCATCCGTCCCATCCCTTATACATTAATTATAAAGTTATTTTTTTCGGAACAACCAGAAATAGACATAGTTGATTAATGTAACAAAAAAATTGCAACCCATAAATGCGGCTCTCCGCGTGTCTGACCAGACACGACTCCTCCTGAGGTCGGCCGTGGATTTTATTTTTAATCTTTCACCAATTAGTCGGGGGGTTGTATTTAAAAAAAAAGATCAAGTATGTAAAAATCGTGAAATCGCGGGAGAAAATAACCCGTTGTTTTACCAACCGTGTGGCGAAGTGACAAGCCTAGAGTTTTCTGTTTCACCCTGAGAGTCAAATGGGTACATCATCTTTTCAAGTCTTTTACAAGTGGCCAGACGAAAACAAGGGACAGTGAAAAAATACAGATAACGATGATTTACAGCTACCAAGTTCTATTTACAAAGAGCCAAGGAGAGGATCCTTCTCTCCCTTCTGCCTCCCTTCCAGCAGCCGAGGCCGGGCGCGGAGCGTATAAAAAGGGTCGTAGAAATGATTGTAGGGCAGTTGAAAAGTTGTCGTTGCGTCTCCGTGGGGAGAAAAGGACGGGGATTGGGGCCAGACAGCTCTCGCCAGCCTTTGGAAACCGGCTGCAGCCCTTTGACATTGCAGCTCCCCGGCCACCCCGAGAGCCCCAGTGTCCCGTCCGGTGGCGGGGAGCCGGCCGCCTTCCCACTGTTAGAATGGTGCATAAAGTTGAAATGACCTATCCCTCTCCGGGGGGCTTTTAAAAAACAAAGGGCCAAAGAAGAGGAGTATCCGTTTGGGAAATGCAATTTCAAGCACTCCCTCTTCCCCGCCCTCATTCCCCTCTAATGCCCCTTCCCCCCAAACTCAATGGTTACTGAAAAAGTAGCGAGTTCATCAGGGGACGGACATGAATGTATGATTATTAATGATGTATTGTTGCTTTGCGAAGCTCTCCTGGCACTGCGCTCTGCTGGCTGTCCCTGGGTTGCGGTGGGAGACAGGCGCGCAGAGAGAGTTCCGAGACGAATCTTCCCAGTCCAGGGGATTGCGCGCTCTGAGCGCGCAGGGGAACTCGTGAAAAAGTAGCGAGTTCATCAGGGGACGGACATGAATGTATGATTATTAATGATGTATTGTTGCTTTGCGAAGCTCTCCTGGCACTGCGCTCTGCTGGCTGTCCCTGGGTTGCGGTGGGAGACAGGCGCGCAGAGAGAGTTCCGAGACGAATCTTCCCAGTCCAGGGGATTGCGCGCTCTGAGCGCGCAGGGGAACTCGGAGTGCGCGGTGCGAAGTTCCCAGCCCTCGGGGCCAACGGGAGCTCTGGGCGCGCAGTTCCCATCCCCTGGGGCCAACGGGAGCTCTGGGCGCGCAGTTCCCATCCCACCGGATGCGCTGAGCGCAGGGAGCGCGGCGCGTGGTCTCCATCCCAGGGTCTGCTGCCCCAGCGGCTCTCGGGCCCGGGGCGGAGGCAGGCCGGTTTATAGGTGCGGGGTGTAGAAGGCCGGAGCCCCGTAAGTCTGCGAGCCCAGGACGAAGGGCGAGAGGACGGCAGGGCTGGGCAGGAAGGGCAGCTGGGCGGCGCACACCAGACCCCCGGTGGGGTGTCCCGGGTAGCCCCCGGGGCCGTGCATGGAAAGCGGGTTGCCCATGGGCGGCGAGTGGCTGAGCGGGCTCAGCCCCCCGCCCAGGCCGCCTCCCCCTAGGCCCCCTCCGGTCCCGCCGCCTCCCCCCCCCCCGCCCCCCGGGGCGCC